ATATATATATATATATATGTGTGTGTATATATATATATATATATATATATATATATATATATATATTTTAATACTGGTTAAATTTTAGAATCTTGGCTAAATCTTAGAATTCTGGCCCTTTGTAGCCATATTACAGAAGTCTATATTGTAAAAGCTTAAAGATCTGGACAAGTTTCCAAAAACCTTACTTTCATGAGTATATAACCTTGGCAGAGACCTGAATGGCATTTATTCTTTGGTACACTACGCACGCGTGTGTATTTGTGTGCGCATGTGTGCTTGTATTTTAAATTTGTTGCACTTGAAAACCACAGCTGCTCTAAATTCTTAAACACTGGAAAGCCATCCTTTGGTTTAAATGGTGGAGGGTTAGTAGAAGTGCACATGCTGGTCTTAGCCTAGGGGCCTTTTGAAGCCTTTGGTAGTAATAGCCTCTTACTAGCTAACTGAAAAATTCTTTTGTTGACTGTCCCTTTTAGGAGGGTTTGTTTCTTGAAAGATAATGCCAGCTTTGTTTTCCTTTCTTTCAATATTGACTTGGATGACACTGCTCTCCTGAGCACTCTGCTTCCTCCAATTGTGGGGGAAGGATGATGGAGGGGAAGGGAATTGGGCTTGACGTTTAAATGGGTTTGAGAGGGGAGAAAATAAATTTTGAAAACTAGCTTTCTACCTCTAAATTGAGGCTTAGGAGTAAAAACCATTTTATCTTAAATTTATCATTTAAAATAGTATCAGTAACTTTTGAGCCCATGTCAAGCATTGAGCAGTTAGAGATTTTATAGGGAAGACTAAGTTAATCCAGTTCCCAAGAACCCAGGCTGAATGAGGCTTCAAGAGTCAGACCAACAAAAGTTTTATTCTGTGTTGAGTTTACTGGTAAGAATATTATTATCTTGATACTACCTCTCAAGGGTATTGTTAGAAAATGCCACTTATGGTTAATGAGATAGATACAAAGAGTTATATTGACAGAAGCTTGAAACTCTGGCATCTATCTGCCCAACAATGGGGGCTTTCACTCTCTGTAATTTAATACTTTGTAGATACATTATTTGTGTGTAATTTTATAAGTGTCCATATTTTTCTCATTTTGCATTGTGTAAAGTGTACAATATCTCAAAGTATAAAATACTGCTTATATTGCTTGTAATTACAGTGTGTAAATATTTTCTAATTGTGTACATTGACAGGGGGACAAGTGGGTTATTCAGGTTTTTTTTTTTGAGTGACCCTTTTGTATTGCAGTTTCAACAGATAACTGCCCATCAAATTTAAAACCACTTTGATACATTTTTATTTAGCAGTTCCAATAAGAAAAGTCTCTATTTTTAATTGTCTTTCTCCATTAGAGAAAAATACTTCATCTGTCCCTTTAAAATCAATGGCCAAACATCAGTTGGGACCCTTGTATTTATGACTTTGGTAGGTGTCTTTAGTCTCCAGGTCATATTCCAGCCAGTATTTGCATTGGGGTTCTCAAAAATTTTTGTGAGTCTCTTTAGCACAATTAGCCCATGGTTTTTCTCCCAAATTAAGTATTATCCTTTTCCCTCTGAGTCCCCATGCTTTGTCTCCCTCCTGCTGCTGTTGCCCAGTGAATGGGATGGTAGTGGGGGAGAATATGTTCATTGCACAGAGAATGTCAGGCCACTTTTTTGGACTTGGCAAACAAAGCTTGCACTGAGTGGTGGTGTGTTTGGCAATATTACTGTGCCAAAAATCACCTTGTCTAATTTTCTGGATATGTATGTCAAACTTATTACCCTTATTGCAAGCTGAAAAATAAGGTACTTGTGTTTATGCTTCTGTGTGTAACTGTTTGCCTTTTCTAAACTGCTTTTCTTGTTATCCTAAAATATAATTCTTTTGGGTATATCAAGTTAAATGAAGAGGCTTTCCATGCACAAAATGCATCTATGTAGCAGTAAAGTAACAGCATTTGTACATTTTCTGTCTATCTCCTGAGGGCAGTGGTGCCTTTGTCACCTTTTAGAAGGCTGGCATTTTGTTTTTGTTTTGAAGTACAAGTAATAGCTTGCTTTGGACTTCACAAAAATCTCCCCAGATGTAAAAGAAAATGGTGTGTTGTCATCCAGGCTCAGTTGGAGCATTTGTATTTTTATTTCTGTCAAAACAAGCATAGTTGGTGGGGACTGGCCAGTAATAATGTGTGGAGTCTTTAAACCAAGAATAGTTTTCAAATTTAAAAAAACAAAAATTTAAGAGGTGACCCATTAACAAGTGACTGAGTTGGAGAATTAGGGGAGGACTGTTCTGGTTTGTCTCTAAGGAGACAAGTTAGGGTACAGGTGGCTTGGGCATATAGAGCATGATCTGCAGTTATTTCTTATTCATTAACAGTGTTGGTGCACCTCCTTATCTGTGTGTTTGTTTTCCCTGGGCAATCCTATCAGCCAATTAATCCACCAGCTTTTATGAAGTTTACAAGTAAATGCAGATTTCCTTTTTCTTTCCTCTTTTTTTTTTAATTTTATACTATTTACATCTTGTTTTAAGTCCTATGAATGTATGTGTCTGTTATTAAAATGGCTTTTTCTTCATTTTGGACATGTGTTTAGTAATATTTGTTTGGGAGTGGGGATGGTTAAGTATCTGGAATGTCCTGATTCTTCCCCTGCCCCACCTAGGTTGTTTTTTTTGTTTGTTTTTTGTGGGGTTTTTTTTTTTGCGGTACGCAGGCCTCTCACTGTTGTGGCCTCTCCCGTTGCAGAGCACAGGCTCCAGACGCCAGGCTCAGTGGCCATGGCTCACGGGCCCAGCCGCTCCGCGGCATGTGGGATCTTCCCGGACTGGGGCACGAACCCGTGTCACCTGCATCGGCAGGCGGACTCTCAACCACTGCGCCACCAGGGAAGCTCTAGTTTTTAAACTGATTTCTTCCTTTCTTCCTCTTGCATTGGATTCTCCAGTCAGATTTTTAGCTTGATGTTTCCTGTTTCTGGAATACATAAAGCCATAGTTGTACATAGTTCACTTTTATATAACCCAATTAATAATTTGCTGCATCCTTTGCAGTCAGGAATTTGGTAATCTCATTTTTAGATTACCTCATTTACTATGTCCATTCAACAACTGTTAAGTACCTACTGCATGCTAAGCACTCTTTTTAGGTAAACAACACAAACAGCTCTCATGAATCTTACTTTCTGAAATCCAGGTGAAAATATTTTCGGTTATTAGGCAAAGGGGACTGGAAAAGAATTCCCTTGGCCTGGCTCCCTTGTTCTAGAGCTCAGGGCAAAGAAAGGGGAAGCCATACAGTGCAGAGGCAGAGCTTAGGACCACTTCCAACTTGCCAGGCAGATACAGCTCTGGATATGCCACCTGAGAGGAGACATAGGTTGAGACCTCCTTAGAGGAGAAAGGCTTGCCTCGTAGAGTGTACACAAGTGGGATGACCACCAGGTCACTTTGGCCTTCTTGCCACCTCCTGAGGTATCTGAGGTTGGCACTGAGTTCTGTGAGAACATGAGGAGCTGTGTCCCTTAGCCCACTGGGCCCCTGCAGTTTAATTTCTCTCCTGTCTGGTACCATGGGGCTAGCAGTCTTCCTGCCTTCCCTCTACTGTCCCCCAACCCACTTTCCCACAAGGACTGCAGATTTATTTTTCATAGCCATGTCTCTCCTGGTCTTCCCAGCTTGGACTTCCTTACTCAATCCGTCAGCTCTTTTTGAGGATTTTTTTCTGCAGTCTTTTCTGCACTACTTGCTGACTTTTCCCTTCTGTATCTTACTAGGAACCTTCTCATCTCATCAAATCAAACTCACTTTCCTCTTTCATGCCCCTTCCCTTCTGCCTACTCCCCCAACACTCATCTGTGCACAAACTTGCACACTTCTGCCTTTGCTTTGACAATTCCCCTTCAGGTTTACCCTGCTTCCCTCTTCTCAGGCTTTTCCAGTCCTGATTTCAAGGCAAGTTGCTTAACCCCTTAGAGCCTGTTTTCCAATCTATAAAATAGGGCTATTAATCCCTCAGGGTGGAATGAGGCTACGATGAAAGAAAGAAGTTGGACACTCTTTGTAAAAGTTTGTGTACATTTTATTTATCTTGGAATCTTAGTTCCCCAACCAGGGATGAAACCTATGCCCCCTGCAGTGGAAGTGCAGAGTCCTAACCACTGGACTGCCAGGGAATTCCCTGTGTATACTTTAATATAAACATCTCTCCCCAGCTATCTCCCCTTCCACATATACACACATCCTATTTACAGAGTGCTGGGGTGGTGGAAGTGTGACGTGGGCCCTGCTGTCTAGCGGTCTGCAGTCACACACAACCGCACAAACTATGAGACTGTATATGATGAAGTGCCAAACTGAGCTTTGGAGAATTCTGAGAAGAGGGATGACATGTCTTTCCCAGGGTCCCTTCAGTTAAATAACGGCAGCTACTTTAATCCTGTTCCCTCTCAGGCCAGTGCTCATCTGCCTATTCCCCCACTGCCTGCTCCTCCAGAGCTCAGATTCTTAGGCACATGTGATACTCAGTTACCTATGACCCTGTGGCCCTCATCATTTTGGTCTTATTCTTGGGCCCGTATCAATACTGTCACGGATGAGAGAGGGAGGATCAGGCCAGATCATGGCTAGAGCTCAGGTTTGATTCAAACCCTAGAGGGGGTGCCAGATGGCATGGGAGGACTTCCCTAGCTGAGTTTAAGAGAGTTGGGGAATTGATTCTGAGGAGGCTTCCTAGGTTGTTGCTGGGTACGATGATTAAGCCTAGGCAGAGCAGGATATTTGCCTAGGAGGAGCTCACTGTAAGATCTGGAGTAAGAATGATATTCAAGATGAGCTGGAAGGGAAGGCAGGTGTCTGAGTGACCCAGTCCCCGAGGAGGTGAACCCCAGTTACATCTAAGATTTGGTTGAGTGGACGGGTGCAAATGGTTGTGGCTTATTTAATCAGAAAAACAGCATTTTCTGTGTGCACTTCTGGTCAAGCTGTTACTTCATCCCTCCAAGCCTGACCCCCTTCACCTCCTCAGACCTCGGCTGGAGACCCTTGAGCTAGGAATCAAGACACTGTTCTGTGGTGAGAGCTGCCCCAACTCTTGGTCTCCACCTACTCTGGCCCTCTGCCCTAGGCAGAGAGCAGAAGGAGGTGGCAGAAGCACAAGAAGTGAGCTCCAGATTAGAGGACTGGCCAGAGGGCCTTCGGAGAGTTAAGCCCCGAGAAGAGACGTGTGCACATCCCCAGGAGCAGTCAAGTCCAAGGGGTTCTAGGGCTGAGGGGTGGGAAGGTAGGATCAGCCCTTCGAGGGCGCACGGGGTGGTGAAGCCACTACCAGGGGGCGTTACCGGGGCCGCGGCCCTAGGGGGCGGGGCACGCCAGACACCCGAGGGCTGTTTGTGAGCCCTGACCTATAGTGTAGGGTGGGAAGCGCCCTTCCCAGCAATTCACCCTGTTGGCCCCGCCTCCCAGGCTCCCGCCCCACCCCCCGGCTCCGCCTCCACCCCGCCCCTCCTCCGGCCGCGGCCCCTTCCTCCAGCCGCTGGTGCTGTGGTGCTGTGGGGCCGCGGAGCCGCGCACCAATGTCTCTATGGCCGGGGATCTGAGCGCAAAGGTGAGAGAGGCGTGGAGTGCGGGCGGCGGCGGTGCCCGGACCGGGGGGGCGGGGGCCAGGCCTTCCCACGTCTGTTAAACCCGCCAAGCTAGGCCAGGCCTTCCTCACCGCCAAGTCCCCTGGTCCCGAGTAAAGGCTCTAGAGGGGCGCGGGCCAGGCCTCGGGCCGCGCTGGGCGCAGACCCGCCACCGCAGAGTCGGGAACTGGCGTGGGGCGGGGGCCCGCGTGGCGAACAGTGTTCCCTGGGATCTGGGTCACGTCTCCCAGCATCTGGCTGCATCGAAGGAGAGCTTGTCCTCGAGCTGCAGCAGTAGAGACTGAGGTTAGACCTGAGGAGAGGAGAGAACCGCGGACTGTCCGGGATGGAGGAGGGAGGGGGTAGCGGGGGAGGGGCTCTCAGGCCTGGAGGGACCGCCATCCTACTGGGCAGAGGGAGATACCACCTACACTAGGCAGGTGGACATCTGGGATGAAGGTCGAGAGCCTGCCCATCCTACACTGATCCTGTTTGCAGGGTGGCTCCCCTCCTCAGTTCCCTCCGCCCTAAGATCTAATAGAGGGAAGGTGGTCAGAGTTCAGGGGGCTGGCCTTGGGAGAGGAACCCAAGCTGTGGAACCGGGGGTGGAGTGTGGGATGTGGACTGGAGACCTTGAAGCCTCGTTGCCACTGGGGGAGGGGGTTGGCAGCTCCGCCCCCCCCTTTAGCCCCATCCTCCCTCCCAACAAGTTAAATGGGGGCTGAGAGCTCCTGCCCAACTCCCATATCTAGAACTGCAGTATACATGGGAGTAGAGGAGGACTAAGTTACACATTCCATTGCATCTTTACTTTGCTAAAACTAGGGGCCTCCTCCTGCCTGGGTTAGGTAGCCCCTCCCTCCCTTACAGAGCAGCCTTGACCCATGCACCCATCCTATTTGAGCATGCGAGGTCAGAAACTTCCCCCATCACTACACACACATACACACACACACACTCACAAACACATACTTGGATTCTGGCCTTAGAATTGGGACTTTCGGGAAAGGAGGCAGGGTTCTGCTCTGCATCTCACCCCCAGTGGACACTGGCAGCCTCCAAGCCTGCAGTGAAAACTGGACCCCTGTATGTACATATGCTTGTCTCTGCGTAGATGTAACTGTGTGTTTGAGGACTGTGTGCGTACGCATGTAGTTGATCCTTTTGCAAACATGACGGTGCCTGACCCACTATATCTATGGGTTTGTGTACATGTCCCCACATGTACATGTGTATGTGCAGGACCCTCCTGTGAATAGGTGTACAATCCTTCATAGGGACATGTGTGGGTTTATAACCTTCCTTGTTAACCCCATAGGCTGGGTGACTTGCTGAACAAATGGGCATGTAAATACAACTTTACATGTAAGTATGTATAAACATGTGGCAGGCCCTTTAGGTGAACATATGTGTGCACAAACCTCCCTGTGAATGTGTGTGTGCATGACTCTCCTGCAAGTACACGTGCTCACAGCCCTCTGATGAATATGTATGTATGTGTGTACCTATGTGCATGCACATCACCCTCCTCTGGACATATGTGACTCGTTTAAACCTGTGTAAGTGTGCCATGCACCACACTCTGACCCGGGGTGTGTTCCTCTTGCCCAATTCTAGAGGCTGATCCCTCCTAGCCATAGGGCTCCCCCACACCCCTGCTTCTGCACTAAGCAGACAGGAGGCCCAAAGGTAAACAGGTGTGCCTCCACAGTGAGAGGTGGGGCATGCGCTGTTTGTCTGGGGCCTCTTGCTGCCCCAGCCCCCACACCAGGGGCCCATGCCCCTTCTGTGAGCCCGGCACTCTCCTCAGTCTACTCATACTCCATTCTCTCTGGGCTCTGCCCACCACAGTGGTGACCTTTACCTCTTGAAAAAACCCTCCAAGTTCCTGTTCTCCCTCTGGCCAGTTCCCAGTCCCTCCTCTCTCTTCGAGGCCACATAGTTAATATTTGACCTGGAAGGAAAGGGAGAGGCCAGTTGCCCCCCTGGCCTTGTCTGATGAGATTGGGTGGGTCAGGTTTTTCTCCACACCTAGCCCAGCCAAGCCTCAGGAACTTCAGAGATCAGGCCTATTACAGGGATCACATCAGACCTGCCACCTATCCCAACCCCACCCCCAGCTGGTTGGCGTGAGGGAGGGTCCTGGTGTGGGAATAGTCTCCAAGATGTGCCAGGAGAGGTAGCCGAGAGCTCAGGGATCCTATCGTTCACCTTTTACATGTTGCTTATGTCTCAATTAAGTGACCTTGCACACTAGAGACTCCTGTACAGGTATTACAACTGTACAGTGGCGGGGGGTGGAGAACAGAGGGAGGCAGATACACCCCGAGGTGCCTGTGAGTGCCTGTTTGCAGGTAGGGGCACGTGTGGATGCTTAGCCAGAGGGTATAGTACAGACTCGCATGGGCAGGGCAGAGATGTGCACCCCCTTGTAGAGGAATGCCGAGGAGGAGAAGTATCTAATTAAAGACAAATTCCAAAGGGAGCTTTCAGGTCAGGGAAAAGAAAAAACAAAGGGAAAACAGAACAAAATAAACAAAGGCCCATTAAGCATCTCTGCCCAGGCCTTCCTGCATAAGGCACCCCCGCAGGCGGCAGGGGCAGCTGCTGCCTGAGTTGGGTCTCCCTGTTGGGAAAAGGCACTCTCCCTAGGAACCCGAGCTCCACCAAGATGGAGGCCTAGCCAAGCTTCTGACTCGGTCAGAGGAGGGCTATTACCTTGGGTTTGGGTTGAAGGGAGTCTAGGGTCTTGAAAGTGGACAAGTTCCACCCAACGTCCTGCATCAGAACACCGAGGGGGACAGAATGGCTGAATCCATCCTCTTGTGGGAGTTTCGTAGATGCTGGGCCTCCTCCCTTTGGTACCACCTGAAGTCTGAGGGTGATGCTATCTACTTTCCACAGATGAAAGGGCTTTTTTTCCTGTTTTTTTTCTTCAGAAAACAGACCTCAGAGAACCAGGACCAGTCCTGCTGTTGGGGCAGGGTGACCCCATCAGTGACCTACAACCCCTCTGTGACCCCACAACTCCCTCTCACCATGGCATTTGTATTTGATGCCGACAGGCAGCATGTAATCCATTTCTCCTCTTGACCTCTTACCTGGGATTCCATGGCCACACAACCCTGTGATTCCATGTCTCCCCAATTCCAGGACCCCCCCTGGCCCCATGACTCCTGACCTTCTAAGTCACCTCCCTGGACCTTAACCCCTGTGACTCTTCTTCCCATCATCCCCTTAACTCTGGCCCTGGCTCCCCTTGGGGGTCTTGTTGGTCTGGGCCTCCCCAGGAAGATGTGGGGGAGGCTCTGGCCCCTCCTCCTGAGCTTCCTCACAGCAACTGCAGTCCCTGGACCTTCGCTGCGGAGACCATCCAGAGAACTAGATGCCACCCCGCGGATGACCATCCCCTACGAAGGTTAGACATCCCCAACCTCGAAAGGCAGCAGGAGCCAGGGCTGGGCGTGGGGAGGCAGCCCCGGAGCTGGGCTTATAGCTTCCCCTCTCCCCAGAGCTCTCCGGGACCCAGCACTTCAAGGGCCGAGCCCAGAACTACTCAACGCTGCTGTTGGAGGAGGCCTCAGCAAGGCTGCTGGTGGGAGCCCGAGGCGCCCTGTTCTCTCTCAATGCCCACAACATAGGAGACGGGACTCACAAAGAGGTCAGCCCCTGGAATTTGAACCACCAGAGGGTCTCCAGCTTCATCCAGCTCCTTGGGACCTCAACTTCCTGGAAACCCTGTCAGCCTTCCATAGCCTCCTGGTCAGACAGCACTGCCCTTCCTGGCCCAGGTCTCCCTTACCTCCAATACTCTTCCTGAAACTTACCCCCACGCTGGGGTCCTATCACCTTGTCCCACAGGTAGTGGGGAAAGGCAAAGGCATTGGGTTCAATGCATCAGCCAATTCCCTTTACTGCCCCCTCCAGATTCACTGGGAGGCCTCCCCAGAGATGCAAAGCAAATGTCATCAAAAAGGGAAAAACAACCAGGTATGTGGTTTGCCCTCTCCCCAGCTCCTTTCCTCTTTCTTTTCAGTGGGGGATGTCAGGGTTGGTGGGGACACAGATGGAGAGGTGCGGATCAGCCAGTCTGTTGCAGCAACCACAATAAGCACTGTAAGTGCCACTGGAGTGGCAGGCCCTGGGAGCAGTATTTTTAATCCAAACATCTGGTGACCTACTAGCTTGGTCTGAGACAGCATCTTAATCTCCTCTGGGCTCCCCAATAATAATCATGATAACAATAAGTAATCTCTAGTAAGTGCTGACTTAGCTATTATCTCATTTAATTCTAAAATAACCCTATGAAATAGTATTATCCTCCATTTTACAGATGAGAAAAATGAGGCTTTGGTCAAGGAATAGCTCAAGTACCCAGTTTTCCATGGAAGGTGTATTAGTGAAGTGTCAGCCCTTTCTGGCTAAAGAACAGGGTGTCTGCAGGGGTCCTGTGTCTGGCTATGTAACAGATCCATCTGGAGAGCTTTTTACACAGTGGGGTTTTTTTTTTGTTTGGTTTGGTTTTTTTTTTTTTTTGGTTTTTTTTCTTGGCCATGACCAGGGATCAAACCCACGCCCTCTGTAGTAGAAGCACAGTCTTAACCACTGGACCACCAGGGAGATCCCTGGAGAGCTTTTTAAAAATACACATTCCCAAGGCCCACTGGCCTGGGGATTCTGATTCAGTGGGTCTGTGGTGGTGCTGAGGCAGCTGCATTTAAAGAGGCGTCTCCAGGAGATTCCATCAAAGGCTGCCTCTTAGTATAACATGGGTAGAAAATGGGGCTGGTGAGGCAGATGGAGCCCAGTTTATGGAGGGCTGTAAACACCCAGCTCGGGGTTTGGATTTTATTCTAGGACAATGGGCACCCTCACCATATGACACTTTAGAGAGTCTCAAACTTTAATGTGCAGTGAATCACCTGGGTGTATTACAAATGCAGATGCTAACACAGTAGGTCTGGGGAAGGGCCTGAGATTCTGCAATTCTAACAAGCTCCCAGATGAAGCTGACACTGCTGGTCCCGAACCACACTTTGCCTTTAGAACATTTCCCAAAGCATGTTCTGAGGAGCATTAATTTTCAAAAGAGATGTTTAATAGTTAGATGAGTTTGGGAAATGCTGTGTGCTCAATCCCACAATGCACAGCAATACCCTTAAGGCTTTGAGGAGTCCTCAGTAAAGGTAGGTTTTACCTGTGGTTTCCTACTTATTTGACCACAGAATTCCCCCTCCCAGCTCCATTTTTTTAATGTAAACATCTTGGGGAAACACTATTATAAGAATATTTATTTGGTCCCAGGCACTAGGTGGCTTAAAATAGAGTGAGTCTGGAGGCACGAAAGGCAGTGAGGAGGCTGGGGGCATCATATGGGTCAGAGGAGGGAGGCCTGAGCAGGCTTGTGGAGAGGAGGGATGGATGCCAAAGTACTGCACCTGGTGAGGGAGTGGGATGAGACAAAGAGGCCTGCATGGACTCAAACCCTGGGTAATAGGCAGGAGGAGAAATCATTAACAAGGCAAAGAAGTCAAGAGGGTGGCAGCTTAGGGCATTTGATGGGCAGAGGAGGCCAGGGTAGCTGCAGTAGGGTGAATTAGGCCACAGGAAGGGGTAGGGCCCTATCATGTAGGGCCGGGAGCATATGGGACCCTATGTTCAGGACTCTGGTGAGTCACTGAAGGGTTTTTAAATACAGCAGTGACATGATCTGGTTTACATTTTTTAAATATGCCTTGGAAAGTGGGTTGCAAGACGGTGCTGACTGGTAGAATCTCTCTGGAAGGAAAATCCAGACAATGGTAACAGCAGTCTCCTTTGAAGGCAACGAGGATAAAAAGGAGACTGTTTACAACATATCCCTTTCTACCTTTTGAATTTTACACTGTGTGCTTGTATTCCTCATTCACTGAATAAATAAATGGTTTCTGTAAAGAGTGGCAGAGAGTTGCGAGAGCTGCCAGGTGGTCGCATAGCTGCCCAGGGAAGAGGTGATGGTGGTAATTTGGACTAGGGTGGTGGTAGTGGAGGGGGAGTAGACCAAGTCATGAAACATGTAGGACAAAGACTTAATCACAGAGAGAGACTGAGTGTGAGGGTGAGGGAATGGGAAGCAGCAAAGATGACGCCTGGTTTCTGGACTGAGTGATGGGATGGACTGATGAAGTGGGAAAGACTGGATGAACAGTTTTAAGAGGGAGGATGCAGGTGAGGGAGGGGAGGGGATGAGCTTGGTTTCTGACAGCATGAGTGTGATGTGTCTGTGGGATATCAGGTGGAGCAATGGCTAGAACCTGGGGGTAGATTTGGTAGTGCCACCCCGAAGCAGGTGTGGGAGCTCCATGACTGGGGGACAGTGCTGAGGAGATGTAAGAGAGAAGCATCTTAGGGTGGTGAGAGCCCTTGGAGCCCCCGAACTGGGGGGTGCAGGGGACTATAGAAGATGCAGGAGAAGCCAGCCAAGTGTGTCAGGCAATCTAAGAGATAGCCAAGGGAAAAGGGGTCATGCCCCTGGGAGACCAAAGGACAGTGAGTTCCAGGGAATAGTCTGTGTTCTGGGCAGTGAGAAAGCCCACCAGGCTCTTGGAAAGAACTATTTGTCCTGTGGGTGGGGGCAAGAGCCAGACCACAAAGCTGGCCTAATGGAAGCAGTCTCTAAGGAAGCCCAGGGCTCACAGCCCTCCCCCACCTATCCCACAGACCGAGTGCTTCAACCACGTGCGTTTCCTGCAGCGCCTCAATGCCACTCACCTCTATGCGTGCGGGACTCACGCCTTCCAGCCTCTCTGTGCAGCCATTGTGAGTATTCCTGTCCCTGCCCTGATTGCTGGTCCCTGACCCTGGACTGGTCTGATCTTCGGCAACAACCCTGGCCTATCCTCAGGATCAATGACCTCTGGCCCTTCCTTCATTCCCCCAGGATGCTGAGGCCTTCACCTTGCCAACCAGCTTTGAGGAGGGGAAGGAGAAGTGTCCTTATGACCCAGCCCGTGGCTTCACAGGCCTCATCATTGGTAAGCATGCCCTCCTCCCCACATCGGCCCCTCATCCACAAGCATGCTGTTTGCGGACACGGATCTCATTGCTAGGACTTGCCACCCATGTGTTATGTGTCTTGTTTTGTGTGACATGTCTTATGGCTGGCATGTCCCTGCCTCAGATGGAGGCCTCTACACAGCTACTCGGTATGAATTCAGGAGCATCCCTGACATCCGCCGGAGCCGCCACCCGCACTCCCTGAGGACTGAGGAGGCACCAATGCACTGGCTCAATGGTTAGGAGGACGAGGCACAGGATGATGGGGGGCAGGGGGCTATTTCTTCATCTTTACTCCCTTGGGCAGTTGACCATCCCATCCCCATATCCCCAGGTGATCGTGTCTATTCCTGTGTGTTGTTGAGTGAGGGCGGTTGGGGGAGATCCCAGCCTAACTCAGAAGCCACCTGAACTGCCTGACCCACAGATGCTGAGTTTGTGTTCTCTGTCCTGGTGCGGGAGAGCAAGGCCAGTGCAGCGGGTGACGACGACAAGGTTTACTACTTCTTCACAGAGCGTGCTGCTGAGGAGGGCTCTGGAAGCTTTGCTCAGAGCCGCAGCAGCCACCGTGTGGCCCGTGTGGCCCGTGTGTGCAAGGTGAGGAGGACTGAGGGAAGGGCCAGGGTGTAGAGGCTGAACCTCTGATCCTGGCCCCTGACCCCATGCCCCTACCTCCCCAGGGAGACCTGGGAGGGAAGAAGATCCTGCAGAAGAAGTGGACCTCCTTCTTAAAGGCGCGTCTCATCTGCCACATTCCACAGTATGAGACACTACGTGGTGTCTGCAGTCTGGAAGCTGACACCTCGGCCCGCACGCACTTCTATGCGGCCTTCACGCTGACCACACAGTGGTCAGTGCAGGGACAGTGGGGAGGCAAGGAACGGGGACGGCATAGGGGCTGGAGCAGAGTTCAGTGAAGATGAGATAGGATCCACTGGGGGGAGGCTGGCTGCAGACAGAGAACTTCAGGCACGTCCAGTGGCCTGCTCACCCTCAGGAGAGGCCCTGTGGGCCTGGAGCAGGGATTGGTCAGGGTAACAGTGGGCTCCAGGCCATGCAAGTGGGCAGGCTCCATTCAGTGTGACTCAGCCCCCTCCCCTATGTCCCATCTCTAGGAAGACCCTGGAGGCCTCAGCCATCTGCCGCTATGACCTGGCCGAGGTGCAGGCTGTCTTCGCAGGCCCCTACATGGAATACCAGGATGGTGTCCGACGCTGGGGCCGCTACGAGGGAGGGGTGCCGGAGCCCCGGCCTGGCTCGGTGAGTGCCCAGGCCTGGGGTCAGTGCTGAGCAGACGGGACCCCTGAGAGGGGCAGGAGGTCTAGCCTTGTGGGGAGGACGGGCAGGTGGCAGAGTCCTGAGGTTCACCACCCCGTCCCCCACCACAGTGCATTACAGATTCATTGCGCAGCCGAGGCTACAACTCATCCCAGGACTTGCCATCTCTGGTCCTGGACTTTGTGAAGTTACACCCACTGATGGCTCGGCCCGTGGTACCCACACGCGGACGGCCCCTGCTGCTCAAGCGCAGTGTGCGCTACACACACCTCACGGGGACACCTGTCACCACGCCAGCTGGACCCACCTATGACTTGCTCTTTCTGGGCACAGGTGCTTCTGACCCCTGGCCTGAGCCCTTTGGTGACTGCTGGCCTGAGTCCTTGATCCCTGTTGACCTCTAGCCCCCTGGATGACCCCTGATCACAAAACCCTGATGACCACTGATGTTGATTCTTCAATAAACACTACTGGTCCCCAATGACCACTAGCTCTTGGTGATTGCTGACTCCTGTCACCAACCACAGTGACATTTGACCCTAGTCACTAATGCTTCTAAATCCAATACTTCTTGTCATGACTAGCTTGGAGTTCCCAATGTCCAGAGGGCCCACTGCTACTGGCCGAATCCTTGTCCCTGACCTCATGACTCCAAGCTGCTCCCATTAGGCTATTGCAGGGGGCTGAGAGTAGATTCCACTGTTGGAGTCTGACCTTCTGCCATTCCCATACCAGCTGATGGCTGGATCCACAAGGCAGTGGTCCTGGGCTCTGGGATGCACATTATTGAAGAGACACAGGTGTTCAAGGAACCCCAGTCTGTGGAGAACCTGGTCATCTCTCCGACACAGGTAGCCCCTGACTTGTGACCCTCAATATTCTGGCCTTGCCAGAATAAGTGGAGGGAGTGGGGAGGCTGGGCAGTGGCTGTGTGTGTGTGTCTGTAAGTGGGAGTGGGGTGTTGCCAACCAGCTGTCCTCTCTGGCTCCTAGCATAGCCTCTACGTGGGGGCCCCTAGTGGAGTCATCCAGCTATCACTGTCCAGCTGCTCCCGCTACCGCTCCTGCTACGACTGCATCCTGGCCCGGGACCCCTACTGTGGCTGGGACCCCGGCACCCATACCTGCGTGGTGACCACAACCGGAGCCAACAGGTCCCAGGGTAGCAGGTGGGAGGCCATAGAGGTGTGTGAGGGTCCCCTTTGCCCAGGGGATCGGGCCTGAGGGGTGGAGGAGGGCCTGCCAGCTGCAGGGAGTTGGGACCAGTTGTTGGTAACAGCTTTACTGACCCTTCCACTGGGGAAACTGAAGCCCAGTTCTCCTTGTTCATAAATCCCAATCTTCTATCTCCAGGACAGCACTGATACAAGACATAGAGAGAGGAAACCGAGGCTGTGAGGGCAACAGGGACACAGGTAAGTGACGTCACAGATGTGTGTGCATCTGGCTGCATAGCCTGTCCTCTTTACCATTTGATGCCACTTGTATGTGCATGTATGATTCTGAATGGCTGTGTCTGTGCTTTCAGCGAGAATGACCCAGCACAGAGTAAGTACTCGACAAATATTTGTTGCAAAAAAAAATTGTAAATAAGGAAACAGGTTCAAGATGTGAAGTTTTTTGTCACTTCTGGAGCTTACAGCCCAGTATATGCACAGGCAATCAAATGATCACACAACCAATTAATTACAATTATTTTCTTTGGTTTTTGTTACAAAAGGAATAATTACAACTATGACAAGGGCTTGCCCCAAGGAAGATCAGATGACCAAGCTGATAACTGAAGCAAGAGCAATAATCATAATAATAATCATAGCTAATATGTACTGAGTACTTACCATGCGCCAAGCACTGATCAAACACTTACATGAACAATTTCATTTATTCTCAGAGCATTCCTATGAGAAAGGTGCCATTATTACCATCTCCGTGAGGGGCAATCTCTGGGGCACAGAGAGAATAAGTAAACTACCCAAAGTTAAATCAGCTATTAAGCAGTAGGGTCTGAATTTGAACCTGACCCTAAGCAGGCTGCCTGGAGTTTGTGCTTTTGATCACTGTTATGCTCTCTCCCCCAAGTTAACCGGGCAAATAGAGGGCATGGGGAGGGGGATGACACCCAAGTAGAGGGAAGAGCAGGCAGAGCAAGCTTGGTGTTTGAACAACAAGAGAAGAGGCTGGGGAAATGGGCGGGACTGTGTTGAGGCAGCGGAGTGGCATGATCAGCATAGTGTTTTTAAAAGGTCACCCCACTGTTGCATGCAGAATGGATTAGATGGGGGCCAGCAGTTGGGGAAGGAGAGACGTGAACAGGTCTAAGATAGATTCTGGAAACAGAATCTTAGTGAGGGTTAGATAGAAAGATGAGGGGGAGAGACAGCCAAGGGAAACTCAGGTTTCTGGGAAATGGCTGGTAGCACCATACATGGTGATGACAATTCAAGAAAAATACCTGGTGTAGGCTGGGAGGGAGATTTTGGCCTTAGTTCCTGTGACATGTCCAAGAGATGCCCAGCATGTGGAAGATATTCAAATCTGATGCTCAGAAGAAGAGAACTCTTTGTTGGAGGTAGAGATGAGGAATCATTGGCAGATGTCAGGAATTGAAACCACTGAGAAGGGCCAACGTGAACCTTATGTGGGCGCATGAGCACAGAGAGCTTAGTCAGTTGTCACCGTAATTCCAGATTCTGTGCTTGGTGCTGGGGACCTAACAGTGGACCATCTGGCTTGCCATCTCCAATGCCTTCCCAGGACAGGCAGGCAATGACCACTTCTCCTGTCCCCCGCTCCCTCCAGGGCCACCACCACCACTGAAGACCCGTTCTGTGCTCCGGGGTGATGATGTCCTACTGCCCTGTGACCAGCCATCCAACCTGGCCCGGGCCTTGTGGATGGTCAATGGGAGCATGGGCCTGAGTGATGGGCAGGATGGCTACCGCGTGGGTGTGGATGGGCTGCTGGTAACAGACACACAGCCTGAGCACAGTGGCAACTACGGCTGCTATGCTGAAGAGAATGGCCTCCGCACCCTGCTGGCCTCCTACAGCCTCACAGTGCGGCCAGCCACTCCTGCCCCTGCTCCACAGGCCCCTGCAATGCCTGGGGCACAACTGGCGCCTGATATGCGGCTGCTCTATGTGTTAGCCATTGCTACACTTGGTGGCCTCTGCCTTATCCTGGCTTCCTCCCTCTTCTACGTTGCCTGTCTTCGGAGAGGTGGACGAGGACACCGACAGAAATACTCACTGGGTCGGGCCGGCCGGGCAGGGGGCTCTGCTGTGCAGCTGCAGACAGTGTCAGGCCAGTGTTCCGGAGAGGAAGATGGTGATGATGGGGAGGGGGCTGGGGGCCTGGAGGGTGGCTGCCTCCAGATCATCCCCGGGGAGGGGGCCCCAGCCCCGCCACCCCCGCCACCCCCACCACCACCGGCTGAGCTGACCAACGGGCTGGTGGCACTGCCCAGCCGGCTGCGCAGGATGAATGGCAATAGCTACGTGCTCCTGAGGCAGAGCAACAATGGAGTGCCGGCAGGGCCCTGCTCCTTCACAGAGGAGCTCAGCCGCATCCTGGAGAAGAGGAAGCACACACAGCTTGTGGAGCACCTGGATGAGAGCTCTGTCTGAGCCCAGCCTCCCAGGACAAATGTTCTTCCAAACCAGCCTGTCTGCCCCAGGCTGGGCCGCTGCCTCCCCAGCACAGACACCCTACCTTCATCCCTACAACTCCAGGCCCTTCTCCCAACTTTTTGATGTCCCTGTAGGGCTGGCCAGAGTCAGGCCCAGCCAAAGCCCCCTTCTCAGTCTCCATGGACCCATCTGTGAGCAGCCCAGGCCAACCGGTGCTCCTCAGAGGTAGGTGCTCCCTCAGGCTCTGCAGACCCAGAGCCAGCTCCTGTTCCCTTTTAACCTAAGCACTTGGGAGGAGAGGATGCCATCCTCCTGCCCCATTCATCTGCTCAAACCCTTCTTTCTCCCAGGCAGGGCTCTGCAGGTCCAGATGGCCTCAATGTCACCACCCTCTGCATGGCCCTATGTGCTGGATGGTCCTGAAAACAGACAAGACCTCTGCCAGCCACCAGAACCACCTGAGCCCTGTGTACATTCACGTGTGCACATGGAAGAATGTCTATCAGCTGGGCTGCAGGGCCCCCACGCCCACCTCCTGGTGCATTCTTGTTTCATCCCTTCTGGACTTTGGGTACCCTCCCAATTTGCCACATCCCATCCTACCTAGTCCTCTCCTGTAGTCCCAGCCCCATGTGATGACCTCTTTGGCAAGAGCTTGGGAACAGGCCAGCCTGGGGAGGTAAGACTACTGCATCATTCACTCTTCTTCCTTAATGTGCAGCCCTTGTAAGTCAGCCTCCTTACCCCCTTAGTCACTCTCAAGAGTGACAGAGACAGTTCCAGGCATGGTGTTCCTCGTGAACATGTGCTTACATTTCCACTCACGTGCACCTTCTGAGCCTCCCCTTGCTGCGCTGGACCTGTGTCTGTTGGGTTTGATCCATGAACATTTCAGAGGGAGAGCTCTCTCCCATTTAGCTGTCCTCACAGACACTTCCTTAGGATGGGTGACCAACACTGCACTCAATGAGCCAGCCTCCCTTTTGTGGACCAAACATTTGCTACCCCTAGACCAGAGCAGGGGGAGAAGAGATCTGATGTCTCACCTGGCACATGAAGCCCATTCTTGGAACTATGCAAAGGATAAGAGGCTGGGAGTTTGGATGCTTGGCTCCCACCCCTGTCCTACCTCACCGGGGCACTTTCAGGGTCCAGGGGCCTCTGAAGTCTCCAGGCCCATATGGGACAATCAAAACCTGACTGAGCTCCCCCATTCCCCTTGGGTGAGGGTGACTGTTATTTTTGTAGCTGAGAACGTGGAGTCCCACGGGATTTTTACTGCCCTTCACCCAGCCTCTCCCCCCTCTACCCCACAATGAATGTATTTATTGTAAACCGGCTACCATTCTTTAGGAATGCCCCCGCTCACGACCCAGGGAGGCGGGAGAGGCATGTGACAGGGTGGGGAGGCTGGGTTCAGTTCCTCCCCCCACTGTTGGTTAATAAATACCCTCCTTCCCCACAGCTATGAGTGGTCTGCTTGGTCTAGACTGGTCTTCTCCTGACCACCAGGGGACAGGCTTCTGAGCCTATGGTAAAGGTGCTGCAGGGTTGGCTTTGCTTCCCATAAAGCCATTTGCAGAGGAAATTGGGCTCCTCAGCTTCCATCCTGACTGTCCTGAGCAGGTACAGTCCTTTTTTAAAGGCTCTCACTATTTATTGATCATGGTGATAAGGGGATGACAAACAAAATTACGACAGTTCAAGAATTCATACAACAGTTTCTAGGTTTTTACCTCCTGGCTCTTTTTCTCACCATCTCCCCCCATCCCTCACCTCATTTTTAGCTAAGCCTAGAAGATGCTGCCTATTTATCAGCTGGCCTGAGAATCACTCTCTCCAAGGGTCAAGCCTAGATTAATCACGTGGCCTTTGATACTACACCATCCTGAAGAGTTATTATTCATTTGCTTCTGGTTTTAAGATAAAAAAATGGCATTATAGTTTAAATATGTGCATATTTTGAAGTAGACTTCAAGTGTGACCTTGACAAGTTTATTAACTTCAGTTTTCTAATCTGCACACAAACATTCACAGATATAAAGGACCTAGCCCAATGCCATGCTCACAGCAGGGTACAAGGTACTAGCTCTCTCTTGGTCAATGGCTGCAAACACAGGACATAAGGGATTCTTCAGAAGCCAGCCTTAAATCCTCTCACTGTGATTTGAGATCTGGATTTAAGAAATGAAGATCCAGTAAAATCTGAAGACTCTCGGGTTTCCGAGATGTCAGCTGGATCAGAATTAGGAGACTCACAGTCTCTGCCCCTCACAGGGTACATCAAAAAGAAACAGGCAGCTCTTCTTTATCCCAGGCAAAAGCTTTGGCATCAGCTTCCCCTTTGGTGGGCTCCATCTGTCTCCCGTGAACCAAACCAGAAGGAAGAACCACCTCTACTGGGGCTCTACTGGGGTCAGAGTCCAAACCCTGGGGCTGGAGTAGGTGGAGCAACTCTTCATTGTGTTAGCCGCTAGGCTGGGGCAGGATCCTGGACCTCTCTCGAGGGCGCAGCCCGCCCAGCGTTGTCGGTTTGTTGGTGAAGGGATGCCACTGGCCCTGGATGCTAGGGCTGTCCGTGTGGAAGGGCTTGCGGATGCGGATCACGTCCAAGCCCGACTGGTCCGCCAGCTTCTGCACCAGCGTGGCGATCTCCTCGACCGACTTGCAGTGGATGCTCTCCTCGCGCACAGACCCGTTAACTGGCCGAACGGAGGTGGGGATAAAAGGAAGCGGGTCAGGGGTCACACGAGTGGCAGGAAGCGCGCCGAGCCCCACGACGCCTCCCTCCAGTCCTCGTCCGGCCCCACTTACGGTATTCGGCCACTACTCTGGGCACGCAGCACGGCCGCGGGTTCACGTATATTACGACCCCGGGGTTCCTGCGGGCGAAGTCGGTCACCTCTCGTTCCACGAACTCCCTGAGGGACCGGAGAAGGGTGAGCAAGGTGACTCCTGACCCGGGTCAACCTCGGCATGGAGTCGCACGTCCGCGCCCTTCCCCGGCTCACCTGGCGCCGCGGGACGAGGGCGCGTCACGGCTGAGGCTAAAACTGAGACGCTGCAGCTGCTGCACGTAGCGACCCAGCCCGTTGTGCAGGACACTGGTCAGGAAGCGGCTCGCGCTCCCGCGCGCCGTCATGGCCGCAGCTCCGAAGCCGTCGAGCCCGGCCTTTCAGTGTGGGGGCGGGACTAACCCGAGGCTTCCGCTTCCTGGAACACTGGCGCCGCGGCAGTTTTGTTTCCGAGGTCGTGGCTAGTGGCGCGAGTGACCCATGTTGCAGGCAACAGGGGCAAGAGGAAAGTGGTGACTCGGGGCCGGGGTCAGGAGCGGCGGAGCTCCTAGCAGTGGAGCCGAGAAAACCACGCGGCGGAGGCGCGGCGGGCGTCCCTCTGAGCGCGGAGCTCGGCGGGAGCGAAGGAGTGGCGCTCAGGTTGCGTGGTGTCCCCTTGAGGGAAGGAGCGGCGGAGCGGTCCTCTAGCAGGGGGCTCAGAGGAGAGGGACTACGGAAGGGACGCAGGCGGCCGTAGAGATGAGGACGACGAGGAGGGGCAGTGGAGGGGCGGTAGTGGCGAGGAGATGATCGAGAAAAACCGCATCGGCGAGGGGCGGCGCGGAGGGGAGGCGGCGGGGGCAGCAGCTGTGGAGGACTTCAGAGGTAGGGAACCGGCCAAAGGGACACGGACGTGAAAGGGTCGTGTCCTCTGGCATAGATGTGAAGTGGCAATGTAGAGGGGCTGAAGAGGATTCAGAGGGAGAAGAGAGCTGCGTGCAGGATCCCTAGGGTCTGACCTAGTAGTGAAGGCACCCGAACCGGGCACCTAAGGCATTTCAAGCAGTGACTTCCCCCGTTTGACTAGGAATGTGGGTCCTCCTCCGAAGTGGGTACCCCCTCCGTATCCTGCTGCCACTACGTGGGCCGTGGATGGGGTGGAGGGGCCTGCCACGAAGCTTGGCCGTGGGCCCTCCTCGCAGACGGTACAGGAAGGAGGCTCTCGCCGCCTTGGAGGTACCAGTGTTGCCTGTAACAGCAACTGAAATCCGGCAATATTTGCGGGCCCATGGGATCCCCTTCCAGGATGGGCACAGCTGCGTGCGGGCACCTAGTCCCTTTGTGGGTGCCTCGAAGCTCAAGGACGAGACTGCTGCTGCCACTTCCTTCAGCCTCTTCATTGACAAGACCACAGGCCGCTTTCTCTGCATGACCAGCCTAGCTGAGGGGAGCTGGGAAGACTTCCAGGCCAGCGTGGAGGGGCGAGGGGATGGGGCCAGAGAAGGGGTCCTGCTTAGTGAGGCCCCAGAAGCTGAGGACAGTGAGGAGGTCCAGAGGATCTGGGACCGAGCCGTACCTCTCTGGGAGCTGCCTGAACCAAAAGAGGCCCAGCTGGCTCGCGTGATGTTTGGCCTCACCAAAGTGACGGATGACACACTCAAGCGTTTCAGTGTGCGCTACCTGCGGCCTGCTCACAGCCTTGTCTTTCCTTGGTTCTCCCCTGGAGGATTGGGATTACGAGGCCTGAAGCTACTAGGGGCCAAAGGCCAGGGTGACAGAGTGCACTATATGGAGACCACCATCCCCCAGCCTGGTGCCTTCCACAACCTGTTTGGGTTACCCCTGATCAGTCGTCGAGATGTTGAGGTGGTGCTGACGAGTCGTGAGCTGGACAGCCTGGCCTTGAGCCAGTCCACAGGGCTGCCCACCCTTGCCCTACCCCGAGGAACAGCCTGCTTACCCCCTGTCTTGCTTCCTTACCTCGAACAGTTTCGACGCATTGTGCTCTGGCTGGGGGATGACCTTCGGTCCTGGGAAGCTGCCAAGCTGTTCGCCCGAAAACTGAACCCCAAACGATGCTCCTTGGTGCGGCCTGGGGACCAGCAGCCCTCTCCCCTGGAGGCTCTGAACCAAGGCTTAAATCTTTCTCGTATTCTGCGTACTGCCCTGCCTGCCTGGCACAAGTCTATCGTGTCTTTCCGGCAGCTTCGGGAGGAGGTGCTAGGAGAACTGTCAAATGTGGAGCAGGCAGCTGGCGTTCGCTGGAGCCGCTTCCCTGACCTCAATCGTCTCTTGAAGGGACATCGGAAGGGCGAGCTGACAGTCTTCACAGGTGACCCTTTGGGAAATCACTGCTTGGGCGGGTTTGGGGGCAGAGGGTCAGATGACTGAAGCATGTGGGTTTGGGCTACAGTAAATGTTGAAGAGGCGCCTTCCCCTCCCAACTTTGAAGCTCCTTGCCTGTCTTGGTTTCAACGGTAGGGCTTTACTCCTCACCCGGGTCTGTGTTCAACCCCCCATGCAGGGCCGACAGGCAGTGGAAAGACGACATTCATCAGTGAATATGCCCTGGACTTGTGTACCCAGGGAGTGAACACGCTATGGGGTAGCTTTGAGATCAGCAACGTGAGACTAGCCCGGGTCATGCTGACACAGTTCGCTGTGGGGCGACTGGAAGAGCAACTGGACAAATATGACGAGTGGGCCGACCGCTTTGAAGACCTGCCCCTCTATTTCATGACTTTTCATGGGCAACAGAGCATCAGGTGAGATTCCTAGGTGTGGAGCTTTCAAAGAATAGGAGGGTGGGAGAACAGACTCCCAACAGAGTTTTCTGGCTGCCATGGTCTGGAGATTACTTGTAACTGACTCTTGAATTCATTGTCTCTGCCTCTTCCCAGGACTGTGATAGACACAATGCAACATGCAGTCTACGTGTATGACATTTGTCATGTGGTTATCGACAATCTGCAATTCATGATGGGTCATGAGCAGCTGTCCACAGACAGGTGACATCCTCCTCTTGTCTAGCTGTAACCCACTTAGACACACATCTTCTCAGGGAGCTGGCCTCTGGGCAGACACACTGTACTCTTGTTTTCTGACATATGTGCAGGAGCATACCATCCCATATGTATTTCTGTCTTTGTAGAGGTGTGGGGTGTGGTAGTGGGAAGTATGGACAGGGACTTAAGTGTGAGTCCTTAGGTAGAGGGAAGTAGAGTGAGGTTGTGGTGGTTTGTGGGGAGATGTTAACGAATCGGGAGTATGTGTCTGTTCTTGTCCTTCTGTGTCTGGTAACCTCTTTGTTGGGTAGGATTGCAGCTCAAGACTATATCATCGGGGCTTTTCGGAAGTTTGCCACAGACAGTAGCTGCCATGTGACACTGGTCATTCACCCCCGGAAGGAAGATGATGATAAAGAACTACAGACAGCATCCATTTTTGGCTCAGCCAAAGTAAGTGGGCTTTAGAGGAGCTCAAGCTATGGAAAGTAGAGGGGGCAGGTGTGACCAGGGACAGCCCTCATTCGGCCTTAAATCATCTTGACTATCCATCTGGAACAGGCAGGAGGCAGCTTGCCTCTGGGGCCATGACATGAGGAACACATGTGCTGGAATACAAGGCTGATAATGGTGGGTCCTTTGCCCTGCTTGCCTTCCAGGAACTCACATATTCTATGGGGAAAAG